CAAAATGTTTATAAAACAAATCACGGTGGTTAAAATATGGGAAACAGTTCAGTGAAGTATGCATTCTACCCAAATGGCAGACGTACAGAAGATTTTCTTACTGTATACATAGAACTGGTCCAGTGGAAGACGAACAGACCTTGATTATGAAGTCCTTTTGAGTGCGCTGCGAATGTTTGTTGGCTAGCCGAGCAGAGCGTCGAGGTTGGTCTTTGCGATAGGCTCAAAGAGCTCATATCAGCAACTACTTTGGACTCATCAGAGTATTCTCATGGCTCTCGAAGATTATGTCTCCATTTAGGTAAAAGGTTTGTCGAAGTTGAGTTCAGAAGGTGCAGTGCTAATGGTAGGAACGCTTCTTTATCAATGCTGTCATCCGGGGCGATGGCTAAGGGGTGTAGTGCCTGACGAATATGGCTACCAACATTCGTAAACATCCCACTTATAACCTCTTGGGCACTTGCGGAACCAAAAGGGTCCGCAGAACTAAAAGGGTCCGCAAGTGCCAAGCTTTGCTATCGCTGTCACTAAGAGACCTACAAAGAGAGATAAGTCAAAAGTAGTGGCATGATTGAGAAGATAATGGAATAGTCTTGTATTCCCATATAAAAAAAGTAGCACGATTTAACTTGCGGATATCTATAATATTAATTTAAAAAGCTCAAAAATCTCTCAGCTTATAAAGCTACAGGCTACAATGTAGCACTGTAGATGTCCTTGGAGTTGGGAAATTGTGCGAAAGATTGGCTACCCACGAGAATGACTTCGCTGCTCATTGGAGATCTTATGGCTATTAGCTTTCCTGGAAACTAGAACTGATAGGCTGGCGTTGAGATTGAAGCGCTAAGCACTCAACAAAACGCGCCTTTTGCATACTGGGCGCCGTCATGCATTGTGAAAGTGCTGCCCCGAGAGATAGGATTAAATAATCATAATCTGTCAAAGCTCATAGATATGAGCAAAATTATCCTTCATGGAGTCTTGATTGTATTCCTTGACTATCTTAATTATCTCACATGAAGGTGCTTCCACCTTTGTGGGAGGTCGTTTACTAGGGCGCTAGGCCTATTTGGTAAGTGGTCGACATAATCCATGTCTCATGCGTCGCTTTTCACGATTGAAACAGTTAAAATTCTTATTTGGACTCTTCTCCCAGGAGCAGATCTCCCGCTTGCGTTTCTGATTAGGTGAATCCCCCTAGTGGTATTCGCCGGGTTTGCATCGTTGCCCGCTCAAAGTCAGTAAATTACTTTGGACAGCGGAATTGAAGATGCATCGTCAACCATTATCAGCCCAGATGGCTATGAACTCGTTACGGTTCAGCTGGCGGCACAAAAGGTTGTTGATTTTTGGATAGACGAGTTGTATTGCTTTAATATTCAATACTTCCAACCCGAGGGATATTCTACACCTTGACAACAACTTCAGGTAGGAATTTTAACCCAACTGGCTCATACGAATCTAACAACTGCCATTAGCTTTGACTCAAGCGCCAAGCATTAGTATGTCCGCATTCATGTACCTACTCATGTAGTTTGCTAATCTTCTGTCAGCTGTTCACCGAAAAGAGCGTGTTAACACCCGTTACGTCCCTACACAGAAAGGCTCCTCTTCTTCCACACATAAAAAGCAAACGAAAGTCGGCGATTAGACGCTGGCTCAAATGGTGACCATAGAAATACATAAATTTTACACAACAAGAGGCGAATGACCAACAGACCTATGAAATGACACCGCGGCCTGAAATTACCAGTGTCCAACAACCCGTACTATCGAGAAATTTCCAGCGGCAGAATCGGAGCAAATTTTATCTGCCCAACAAGACTACAGCCCTATCGAAACCGAAGAGGGAAATAACGCATTTAATTTACGGCCCCAAAGGGGCCAATGCTCCTTATTTTAGAGGCACTTGCCTCGGACAAACAGGACCAAACAATTTCGTCGAAGAGCGAGCTGGTTCGCATGTGAACTTTTCCTCTTCTATAAACGGAGGAGACGCCTTGACTCGAGATACTCTAACGTTTAGGGCCTGGGAATTTGGTTCACGTGCAGACCAACTTGAACCCCTGTTAGACTGGTCCGATGAAAATCGACTGGACCGAAATATCAATCTTACTCTCAATCCGGCACTTTTCGTAGACTTCCTGCCAAGTTCGTCGACACCAACCGAATCTCTTCGTCCAGCAGATTTTGTCGACTTCATGTCAAATAACCCTACGTCCCCGGTACGGTCTCTGCAACCTACTGAATTCATTGACTTTTTGTCAAGCCCGCCACTACGTTCGCTTCACCCAACATCCTTCATCGAGTTTTTACCTCCGCCAAGTACGCAGCCGTCATTCAGCCCTGATACGTTCACAAGCATCACTACCAATTCATTGGCAGTTCCGCCAGCGAGAGGTTGCGCGGAATTTCATAACGTACCTCAGCTAGTTCATTACTAATACTGAAATTGCAAATCGATTTCGTGTTGACCGAACAACTCTCTCAAGGCATCACCGCGGAGTTCAGCAGCCAAGAACGCAGCAATATGAAGAGCAGCGATTACTCAACAACCAACAGACCAGAGAGCTTTACTGTACGCATGAGATGCTGAGGAATTTTGCCAAGGAAATTACTGGAACCAAGCCTGGAAAACAGTGGCCAGGCCGCTTTTATAAGAGACACCAGAAAGACCTTATCTCTCACTATGCAACTGGTATTGATTCTGCACGCAAGCGGGCTGATTCTGCATTCAAATACTCTCTGTATTTTTGAATATCTGGGCCAGAAGATGAAGGAATATGAGATACAACAGCAGGATATATATAATATGGACGAGAAAGGATTCCTTATTAGTATACTTTCTAAGGCCAAGAGGATCTTTTCTAGGCGTCAATATAACAAAGGAGGCAATACTCAACGCGTTCAGGATGGTAATCGGGAATGGATTACTTCAATTGCTTGTATATGTGCAGATCAAACTGCTTTATCTCCAGGTTTAATTTACCAAGCGTCATCTGGAAAACTTCAAGATACCTGGCTGCAGGACTTTGATCCTGCAGAACACCAATGTTTCTTTGCCTCCTCAGAGACCGGCTGGACCAACGACGACCTCGGATTTGCATGGTTAAAGCAGGTATTTAACCGGGAGACCAAGGCCAAAGCAGGCAGGCGTTGGAGGCTTCTAATCTTAGATGGTCACGGTTCTTATGTTACCATGAAGTTCTTGGACTATTGTGAAGCTAATAGGATCCTTGTGGCTACTTATCCGCCTCATTCTACTCATTCCTTGCAACCGATAGATGTCAGTATCTTTGGGCCGCTTGCAACCGCTTACAGCAATAGTTTGGAGGCATATCTGCAAGAATGCCAGGGCCTAAGCACTATTACGAAGCGGGACTTCTTCAGGCTATTCTGGCCTGCATGGAAGAAGGCCTTATCTGCAAGAAATATTGAAAGTGCATGGAGATCGGTTGGCTTATGGCCTTTTAATCCTGAAGTGGTATTGGCCCGTTTTAAAAAATAGAGGACCAACGGCCCTCTTCCAGTGGCTCTTCTAGGTCCGTTCTACATGCAGAAGATTGGAGAAAGATCGAGCGGCTTATTAGAGAGATTTTGCAGATATTAAGGATGAAAACACTAAGATGTTAAGCCGTACCATGCACCACCTCTCTACAGAGAATATCTTGCTTAAAATGGAGAATGCAGGCCTCAGAAAGACATGTAAGAATGAGAAGAAGCGCCGCCAGCGTGGAAGACCTCTACAGTTTGAAATCCAGGCCCCTGAAGGTGGTGGTGCAGTTTTTACTCTCCAGGGAAAGTCCATCAGGCTCGGCAGCTTGACCAGGAGAAGGCTCTACAAATACAGCTTGCTAAGGCCTCAAAAAGAGGAAGAGAAGCTACGCCGTCAACAGGTAAAGGAAGAGAAACAACGAAAGTTGCAAGAACGGAAGGATATAAGGGCCTCTGCACGAGAAGCCCGCCTCCAGGAGGCAGAGGAAAAAAAGCGCCAAAAGGAGGAGGAGCGCCTGGCCAAGGAAGCATCTGTACAGCTTCAAAATGACTTCAAAACGGCCAGAATAGACAAGAAGAAGTCCCCAGCAACATCAAAATTAAAGAACCAAGAAGTTGTTGCTGCCCCAGCGCCTGAAGTTGTTGATGAGACCCCTCCCACCAGAAACCGTCGAGGCAGGCAGATCCGGCTACCACAGCGCTTTCGGAACTAAAAAAAATAGTTGTATAGGCGTATTAGGTGTTCAATTTTATTACTTCAAAAGATCTCTGTATAATTCTAATTGTATGTGGCTCTAAATCTTCATTTTCAACGTGGTGTTGATGTTGGGAAATTGGGCGGAAGGCGGTCTTGGGCGGCAGGCGGTAAAGTACGTTAGATTACCAGTGCTATTGTGGGGAAATTCCTATCCTAAAAACATTTTGCCCTTTTTTATGAGACGTAGCCACCCAGATAACTAGCCTCCCTCCTAGTAGAATGAGACCCATATTGCCAATCGATAAATGCGGCCATGCCGCCGACGAATTTAAACGGCCATGAGTTGGGTCTGATAATCTCTGAACTAAAAGCTGATCTGCGTCCGAGCTCTCTCATTCCTATGTCTGACATACGGCGGAAGAATCATCCAAAACTGAAATAATGTTAAGAATGGATAGTTCTTTATGTTGTGCATAGGAAGCCGTATTTAGACTAGGAAAGAGATAGCTTTAGCCAGCGTCCCACTCAGCGCCGATAGCATCCCATGGAACCCAGACAAAGCTCCGGCGCCCTTAAGCACCCGCTAAGCCTAACTGGTCGAGTCATAATTACATACGTTGGGGTCCAAAAAATACAACCAAGTTATAAAGCGCAAAGCCTGTTCTTTTGCCCCGCAAAGAAGTCGGATTTACGCCAGTCACTCATTCAAGCGTCTGTTCTGTGTGGCCTTCGGAATCACGAGAATCTGGTGCTTGGCAAAGTTTTGTGTCTTCAGCTTCGGCCTTCATTTTCTCTCAAATTTTACATCATGCCAAATGCAGCCATACCCGGTCGGAACCCTGTTGATCTGCCTCGACCAGGAAAGAGACGACGTCTACGATGTGAATTCGACACGATTCTCTCAGTGAGTCGGGCGTCTAACCATAATCCTGCCCCTGGATGACAGGCTAATTGTACTAGGAGTCCGATGGAACGATCGAGGACCATCAGCTTTGCGACCATTTGATCAGCACCACCACGGAATCGAACAAGAGGCTCAGGTCTGAGCTCGCGGAAACACGGAGAGAGCTGGCAAAAGCTCAAGGAGATTATGATGAACTGGAATCTAGTCACTCACAGTGCCCCTACTGGATACAGAGAAATGAGTCTCTTGCTTCTGCTTTGGACGATCGCTGTGAGAAGATCGAGCGAGAGAAAGAAAGGCTCCAGAATCTGTGCGATGAGCTCAAAGCTGAGAACCGACGTCTTCGTGGTCAAGGCTGCGACGAAAGCAACAATATCAAGGGAGAGGAGCTCGATAACATTTAGTTTTTGTTCATGAATGGAAGTTGCGTTTAATTCGCAATTTGTTGTTCTTAACACTCTTCATCCGAGCTTCTCACTCGCTGGGAGCCAGCCTTTTGGGAGGCTCTTAATAGGCTATATAGGTTCTGAGATGAGAAGAAAATATCCAGGCTCTTTTGTTAAAGACCGGGTGGGTGTACACAAGTGGTCTTCTTTTGTCCGGTGAGGGGTGTGTCAGCGTTACGTCTTATGACAGTACGCGAGGAGTAAATGCAGTTGTCTCTCCCCAGAGCAAGAGCGACTATTTGGCTAGCCACAGGCTGAAGGGTTATAATGGAGAGAGTTGGAAGAAATGAACGCCCGTTATGGACAAGTATACTGGTAGCGGTTGCGCTGAAAATGGGAGGATTCGGCGAAGTAGGACGGAAGGCGTGGGTGCATTGACCTTCCTTTCCGAGCAGGTCCCTTTTTATTATGTTCGCATCTCCGCTTTTCTTTTTTTTTGCTTTGTTTTCCTTTTGTCATGTTTGCACTCTGCTTTCATCGCTCATGCTCGATCAGAGATGATCAAATTAGGGACTTGCACTGCGAGCCACAAAGCGGTAGTCCGGTGGGCTGGTGAGCGCCTTCTGGCCTGACAGCACTCTCGCATAGCAGCGTGTATTCAAAGCGAGCTACGTCGGCCAAATGAAGTCATTATCATAAACGCGGGCCCGTCAGTAGACAGGTCCTCAAGCGGACTCATAGGGAAATCTGTACGTGAGAAGTCTGTTGATTAGAAAGCGATCTGGCCGTAGCGGAGACCTCATGCAAGTGCTAGATTGGGATCAGTAGATTCGAAAGAGTAGCTGTCCGCAAGCCGTTTTGGGTTGCCCCCGACTCGGCTGGTAATCTGACCGTGTACACACCTGCCTTGCTGCGCTAACACGAAAGAGCACGAGTACACAGGTCAGGTGCCGCTGCTGTTGGTTAACAGGGGACTTTTCTTTTTCTTTTCCGGAACGGAGCAATCCGGGATCACCGGAGCAATCCATCATCACGTGGTTGCAGATGACGAGGCCTCGTTTTTGTGGTTACAGGTCGGCCGACCTCCCAAAGTTCCCCCCCTCTTAAAACGAGCCTTAAACCGCTGTGCCTAGGCTTCGACCTCGCTTAGTCATCATTTATGTAAGCTAGTTAGTTCTTAACTAGTAGTTAACTAGTTAATACTAGTAGCGGCCACCCGCCGGCCACCCATTCAATAGAACAAGCAATCACTTCGAACACTAAGCACTTCCCAATTAGGTATAGTCACCTGTGAAACTAGGAGTTTTGCTGTGTATTTATCAACACCCCCTTAAAACAACAAGAAAGAAATGCCATAACTGACCAATAAGAAGCCTGTTTTCTATAGGCCAATGAAATATCTATACTTGGTCTTATGTGGGGACTCTGAAACTAGTTGACACGAAGGAATCGACGGCGGCTTGGCTGATCACCCAGTCGTGCTGGATTGGGTGAACCGTCGCGCGACGGTCACCCCTAGCGCTCACCCACTCACTCACCCGGTCGCGCGACTTCAGGGCGGCACTGCTCACTACTGAGCGAGAAAGGCAATGGTCTTGGCGTCCGTAGTTTTTTTGCTTGAGGTATAGCTTACGATTATTCTGATAATGACCCTACAACTCAACCGACCTGTAGGCTCAGGATTGGCCAACAATTTTATTTTTAACCTCATCATCAGTTCTCACACGTTCCATGTCAGAACCATGCTTTGTGTCTCGACTTTGTCGTCTTCTTAGACAATGTGGCAGCAGGTAGGTATACTGGCTTCCTTTTTTTTGCGGAACCATCTAGCCGCGCTATGGCTGGGGTTATCTGAGGTAGCGGAAACAAATACTGAATACAAAGCAGACAAAATTGTCCGTAAGCCAAAAAAATACAGACAATAGATAACTACTGTGAGTAGCAGAGTACCAAGTATGGTGAAGACTATGGCCAGAGTCATCAGTAATTTTGTTCCGTTTTCAAAACACCTAGACTTACCAGCTATTTGTACCACCAGCATAGCCGGGAATTCATCCCCATACTCTCGAATTGGAAGAGCCAATAGTTGTTCAGTGAATGATAGAGGAACCTGCCTTTAGTGTCAGTATCCATTGGCACCACGGATTACCGAGGGCTCACGTACGAAAAGAGCGGTGATAACTGTGAAGATAAACAGGACATGTGTTTGTCTAGAATTCTCCCGCGCCTCGTCGATGACTGCTTCCCTTTGCCGTATTTTAAGAAGGGTGGTCAGCTAGTTGAATGGGTTAGTTTTCATACCACTGGTGACCAGCTATATTTGTTTTGCATGCGACATACTAAGCGCTGCACTCTGCTTGCGTTCTCTTCAAGTTGCATGAAATACTCTAGAGGTTGATGGGAATAATCAGTGCCTTGGACTTCCCCAGTCCTTTTAACACTTGCATTACAGTCCCACCGCAGGATATTATTCATTGCACACTTTGAGCACTCAGAACGTTCCTGATCATGCCGACCTCGTCCAGAATATCGTTTATCTCTACCAGAAGTTTAGCTTCATTTTTAACTTCTGACTGGATTGTTTCGTATGACAATCCGACTGACTTCTCGAATTGCTTGTACCCTTCCATGACTTCACTTGCTAAAAGGATTGACTTAGTAGTACGACGGACCCGACGGGAATACAAGAAAATACCTACAACAGCTGCAATTGCGTGCTCATACACATCGATAATTGACGTTTGTTTCCCCGGAATTGGTTCTTCAATGTGGTTGATGCAGATGCCTGCGATGTTCTCGATGGCATCATCTATCGTTCTAGTCCCTGGAAGCTTCCGCGAAATCTTGTCAGAAATACCCTGACCCTGTAGATTCCATCTATCTGGGAAAGCTGTGATTATTGTTCCTTGAATATGGTTAGTGACAATAATGGAAACCCGCTACTATCTAATAGGGCTTGGGAGGGATGGCACTTTTGTCAATCTTCCAAAGCCAGAGCTCGGGAACCATCAACATCTGTTGATCCCTTCGCGGATTGGGGAGATTTTATCAGCAAGCCCTGAAGTATGCTTCCGTAACCAAAGCAGCCGCTACCTGACGCTGAATACCTTGTTAATAAGGCACCTTCGCTCCGGAGGTTAACTGGAACAGATCGAAATGAGCGTTACCCCGATCTCGGATGATGGAAGCACCAAAGGCACGGTATACGAAACATGGGGCGAAAAGAGCCTCGAAGCGGGTGATAAATTTGGCAAAACATTGCGAATCGTGCATGAGTCCAAGCAGCGAATGATTGATGCTGGCTTCGTTAACGTTTTTGAACAACGTTTTAAGCTGCCCATTGGCCCCTGGCCCAAAGACCCGCATCTTAAGAACCTGGGTCGGTACTTTCGACTCGTTATCAGTGAGAGCCTGGAGATGTGGGCAATGATGCTCTGGAAAAGGTCCTTGGAGTGAGTAGCAGCTATCTAGAACAAAGGAAGAGGAGCTAATAGTGGCTATTAGTGGTCAAGAGAAGAGGTTGAAGTGATTTTCTCAGAGATGCGAGAGGCGCTAAATAATCCAAGCATTCACGCATACGTCGAGGTATCGCTGGTTTACGGGCAAAAACCAGAAATTTAGCTACTACGCATGACCAAATTAAACTGTTATGACGAACCTATTGTCTTATGATATTTGCCTAAAAGTTAAAAGGGAGTCGCCAGTTCCTATGATATAGACAAAGGCATAGAGACTCTGTAGTGATGGCTGTCGATCACGCTACTCTGCCTTGCTGGACTACGCGCTATTTCACGTCTGCAGTACAGTTTACGAGTAGTGAATGTGCATATAACTTTTCGAAATGATGGACATCACCCCTCCACCAATCAGATCCTTTATTATAGCACCTCAATCCGAACGAGCCTTCATACGTCGTGACATTCTATATATATAGAAGGGTGAACCGACGCTTCTATTGTAGGAACAGGATTCAAGAAATATATTCAGAATCAGCCAACGATAGCTCCTGTTGGTAATCGAGGCTCGATCAAGTAAGCTATAGAGCTTCATATATGGAATAAATTCCGTATAGAATCAGACTCATGGGAAATCAGCGAAAATCTGACAGCTGGTACAAGTGATAGTCTCTTAGGTCCGCATTTCTTTCTTGTGCTATCTGTCGAGCCACTTTCTTTGTCCATCCATGCGATCGAAGGGTCCGGCTGATTGTGTATGTGGATATAAGCACTTCGAATTCATCTTACGAGAGCTCTGCCATTATCCAGATATAAATCCGGGTTCGCTACCAAGTATTCGCATGGCGCTTCGAGCATGACGGGTGTGATCACACCGGGACGGCCGCCATGGGTCAGGGACGCTCGGACGACGCCAAACATTTGGACATGGCATTGCTGGTTATGAACGAACGTTTGCTGCAGCCAGCCGCTTCAGCCATCTAAGAAGTAGTTAGCAATATGCTGCTGACCACATCCCGGATCATCACAAGCTGGAGGGTGCAAGTCGGGGAGCCATAGTGTTGTCGTGCTGTTAACCGAAGAAGTTGATATTCCACCTTGAATATATGACACTCTTTGCTTCATGTGGACCACTCTCTCTGCATCTTTAGTCTAGGCGTTTTATCAGAAACACACGGGATGCATGTACTTTGGATCACAGCCTCGCGCCTGGCGCCTAACTTACCCATCTTTATCTCGCCAGGAACGCTCAACCAATACCGTACCCGGTCACCTGACGCCCAGATTCATCCGGCGCCCAATTTGTATCTACACACCGACTTTTTAGATAGATTTTAATAGACCACAACACCATTAATATGGACTCAATTGAAAAAGCTATTGCAGATATAGAGAAATTGGGGCCAGGGAAAAAGGTCAATTACTCGAAATTTGCAAAAAATTACGGTATAAGCCGGTCAACCTGTCAAGACGTCATCGCGGTACAGGCCTCTCGAGACGACCAGTATGAAAATCAACGAATCTAACAACCAGCAGCAAAGAGCTTATTAAATGGATTAATCAACTCACTGAGCGTGGCTTACCACCATCCCATTCGATGTTACGCAATTTCGCAAAGGAAATTACTGGAATTAAGCCCGGAAACAGCTGGCCGAATCACTTTCTAAAGAGACACCATAATGACCTTATTTACCGCTATACAAGTGCAATGGATTCCTCACGCAAAAGGCTGATTCTGCCTACAAGTATGCACTCTACTTCGAGCTTTTAGCCAGAAAGATTGAGGAATATGGGATTGAATCAAGGGATGTTTACAATATGGATGAGAAAGGTTTTCTTATTGGGGTACTGTCAAAAGTTAAAAGAATCTTTTCACGACACTTGTATGAGCAGGGAGGGGTTAAGCAACGACTTCAAGATGGGAATAGAGAATGGATTACTACAATTGGTTGTATTTGCGCTGATGGGACTGCCCTTCCACCAGTCTGATTTACCAGGCAGCCTCTGAAGATATTCAAGATACATGGCTTCAGGATTTTAATCCTAGTGAGCATTATTGCTTCTTTTCATCATCAGCTAGTGGCTGGACAAATGATAAGCTGGGATATGCGTGGCTCACCTCTATCTTTGACCGTGAGACAAAAGAAAAGCACGGAGGCGTTGGCGGCTTCTAATTCTTGATGGCCACGGATCCCATATCACAATGCAGTTTATTAATTACTGCGAGGAGAATAAAATCTTTAAGTGTTTTTCCGCCTCATTCAACGCATACTCTGCAGCCCCTTGATGTCAGTCTCTTTGGTCCTTTATCTCAGGCGTATAGTGAGAGATTGGAGCAATTTATATGATTCTCAAGGAATCAGCCACATTACAAAGCGAGATTTTTCAGATTGTTTTGGCCAAGCTGAATGCAGCTTTTTCAACCAAAAACATTAACAGTGGATGGAAATCTGTTGGTGTGTATCCATGGGACCCAGAGATTGTTTTAGCACGCTTCACCCAAAAGCATGGAAAGACCCTCTTCTAGCGGGTCCTCAAAGTCTACCTTGAAAGCAGAGGACTGGCGTCGCATTGAAAAGCTTCTTAAGCAAGTTTTTTGGATGTTTACGACCAAAGGGTCCAGAAATTAAATAATGCGATGATGCATCTTTGTACCGAGAATATTCTTCTTAAACTACGCTGTAAGGGCTTTGAAAACGCCTTAAAAAATGAGAAGAAGAAGCGACAGCGTGGGAAGCCTTTACAGCTTCAACTTCAGGCTCCGGAGGACGGTAATGCAATCTTTTTAGCCCAAGAAAGATTCAACAAGCCCGTGATCTTCAAGCCAGGAAGCAGGGAAGCTGCACGACTTGCTAGAACTGCAAAAAAGAGGAGGATAAGATACGCCGTCAGCAGGAGAACGAGTAGTGAAGAAACGCTTGATTGAAGAACGAAAGAGAATCAAGGCTTTTACTAAGAGTAGACGGATGCAGGAAGCGGAGGAAAAGAAACACCGGAAAGAGGAGGAAAAGGCAGCAAAGGAAGCTGCTATACAGCTTCAAAATGAAATTAATCTAGTCAACCAGGACAAGAAGAATATCAAGAAGCCTTCTACTGCAGAAGAAATTGAAGACATTAATAAGAAGAGCAAGGAAGAGGTGGAAGAGGCACATGTTATGGTAAGTCGTCGAGGAAGGCAAATACGGCTTCCGCAGCGATTTCGTGACACCAAAAATAGCTATATAGCTTCTTTATGTCAATTATTCTACCCCACCAAAAAAATCTAATCATTCTATCATTTCTTTGTGGCTGTATAGCTTCATTTCTACTTGGTGGTTGAACCAGAAAAGCGGGCGGTGGGTGAAAGTGGGCGTCGGATGAACGTGTACGGTATTCCGAACCGAATTTTCGCTCTTGAGTCGTCATTGCACCTGTCTCGTGGAACATAATCATTTCTACAGTGTCCTCAGCTGGTAAGTAGGCAATGACTATATAATGCCCGCTTAGTTCGCCAAATTCGTAGGCGTTGGAATCAGTTGGTAGTTGAGGTGGGAGTGTGGGTCTCGTCGAGCATGGCGCGGGCCGCTGCCGCCTCGAGGGGCAAGGCGCATATTGACGCGATCGTGTAGTCATCGGGCGTGAGGGAAGCCATCGCCGTCGCAACAGGAACAGGCGAGATATGTCGTAGATTAGTCGAACACTCACTTCGCCAGAGAAAATCTGCACGCATACAGGAACTGAATGGAGGAAATCAACAAGTCAGGGAAGAAGGGTAATCAGCTACATGGCCTGTAAGACTGACTCACGCCTCCGCGGACTTTTTATTATCGGGTTCAAGGAATGACTGCGCGCAAAAAAAACTTGCTAATAGCCGAAAATTATCTGTTCTTGAAGAGGAAACCTTAAAGAAATGGATTATTGATATGGCTGAGCGTGGCCTGCCTCCACAAAACTCCCAAGTTCGATATCTTGCTGGTTTATTAATCTCTGCACGTCAAAAGCCTTCGTCATCATCCCCGGCCTCTATCTCCGATTTGGTTAGTGATAAATGGGTTAATCGATTTGTTTCACGCCACAATGATATTAAGTCAAGATACAATCGTCGATATGACTACCAGCGGGCGAAGTGTGAAGATCCGCAGGTTATTCAGGGCTGGTTTCGATTGGTTCAAAACACTATTCAAAAATATGGTATTTTAGAACAGTATATCTATAATATGGATGAAACTGGCTTCCAAATGGGTGTGACATCAACAGCAAAAGTTGTCTGTGGTACAGAAACACGCAAATCTGATAATAGATCATCCAACCAGGTAATAGAGAATGGGTTACATCAATTGTGACTGTTGGAGGAAGTGGCTGGGTTTTACCCCCACAGATTATTTTTGCTGGAAAAAAACATCAATCTCAGTGGTATTCCGTTCTACCTAAAGATTATCGATTAAGTCTTAGCGAGAATGGGTGGACTAATAATAATCTGGGACTAGAATGGCTACAAGAAGTCTTCAACAAGCATACAGAACCCCGCACTGTTGGTCAATATCGACTGCTTATTTTGGATGGCCATGGGAGCCATGCAACTGCTGAATTTGATCGATACTGCATGGAACATTTAATTATTCCACTTTATATGCCTCCTCATGTCACAGGCTGAACCTGTAACATACTATATAGGGCGCTAGATGCGACTGATCTTCGATCAGCCGTCTTGTACCTTTTATATGGTCAAGTGGTTTTATCTCTACTAGCGCAGAGACAACCAAACCATCACACCTCACTCATCTCACCTTCTTCAACCGCTTGATGTTAGCTGTTTTGCACCTTTAAAGCGCTTTTATGGTCAAAAAGTACAAGAAATGATGAATATTGGTATAAAAACTATTGATAAGGTAGATTTTCTATCTATCTATTCATCGGTCCACTCAAAAGCAATGTCATCAACAAATATACTAGGTGGATTCAAATACTGGCCTTATTCCCTTAGTTCAACGGTGATATCAAAGTTAAAAATCAAGCTAAAAACACCAACTCCACCATCTTCTTCCGACAGTAATCAGTTATTTTATTTGGGAAAAACTCCATATAATCTCTACCAGTTAAACCGACAAAAAGAGCAACTCCTGGAGATTCAAAACCAAGGCATTTTCCATCGATTGCTGATACTTTGCTCGATAAAGCTATGAAAGGCAATGAGATTGCTATGCAGCAAATGGCTTTATTAAAGAACGCGCTTGATCAACGTCAGGCAGCTGATAATTACCAAGAAAACAAAAAAGAAGTGCCTAGACAGTTTATTCAGGATGGAGGCAGTTTAACTACTGATACAGCACATTAAATAATCGGCGAGAAGAAGGCAGAGATTCAGGCCGAAGCCCAGGCACCCAGGCAGCGAAGGCCCCCACATGCAGTAATTGCAATATTCAGGGCCATAATTGATTAAAATGCCCTTCTAGATAGTACTACACTTATTCTTTTATAATATATTTCATTTGTATGTTGATAAAGACTTCAAGATTATCCGGTTATGTTATAGTGCGCCCCAGCAACCTGATGTTCCGTTACATTTCTTTTTGATTTTTTTTGCGTCTATCCCCAACAAAGTTCACCTTTATAGGTCACATGTAGTGAAAGGAACACTGCACCCCTTCTATATACATGTTGCAGGAAGCATAGCTGATGTAGGATATAATTCCAATTGCAGTGCTCCTTTCCGTCGTAACTACTTCCAAACTCTAACGACATCTTCTCTCCAACACTGACAAATCTACAGAGAATATCTCAACAAGAGCCGGCAGTTTGCTTACAGCAATATGGGAAATGAAAGCCTCACAAGGCAGGTAAATGGCCTTCTCAACGATATGCTCCGCAACCGAGACCCAAAGTATAGGCTATCCAATGTTAGGAGTAGCGAATATGACACCGCCTGGGTTTCTATGGTCAGGACGAAGGACGGTACCTCGGAATGGGCATTTCCCCAATGTTTCGACGCCTTACTTGATAGCCAATCTCAGGATGGAGGTTGGGGAAATCCTTTTGGGACATTGAACGAATATGCTGTACGCTCGTAGCGCTCCTTGCTATTATAAAGCGTATCAAGGAGTCAAGGCATCTAGCATAAAGCAAGCTTGATATATTTCACGAGCGTGCTTCTCGGGCTATTGTATTTATCAAATCCTCCCTGCCACGTTGGAATATCGATATCACGGATAATACCTTGCCTACTGGATTCGAGCTCTGGCTTCCGACTATATTGGAACAACTTGAAAAGGAAAATGTTGTCTTTGGTATGCCTGAGAGAAGTCGTATTGAAAGTATCAGAGGAGAAAAATTATCTAAATTCCCTATTGAAGATCTATATGGGTTGCAGCAACTGTCCTCATTATTCTCATTGGAGGGGTTTATCGGGATTGTGGACTTTAGCAGGTTATCCCATTTAAAGATAATAGGGTCTATGTTTTCCTCCCCGGCATCCACTGCTGTATATTTAATGGAAAATCCATCATGGGATAAAGAGGCTGCATCGTATCTACAACATGTCATCGATCAGTCGATCGGAAAAGGTCTCAGCGGCGTTCCCACTACGTCTCCCACGACCATATTTGAGATAGCGTGGGTGAGTCTAGTACTCTAAGAATATCTAAACAATGCTTACATTTCAGGTCCTCGACACTTTACTTACTTTTTGGATTTTCGACCGAGTGTCTTGACTCGAAGCCATTGAATAACATGAAGTGTATATGGAGTGTATTCTTGAGCAATGCGTGGAGAAAGGCAACGGTCTGACTAGCTTCGGTAAGCATGTGTATCTGTTGTGGGCTCCAAGGTAATTACAGTAACACTGCTCAGCGGAAGGATTTTGCGTGGACCCAGATGATGACACTGTTCGAACTTTCACATACCTCCACTTAATGGGCGTTTCTTGCTCCCCAAATGCATTAATTACACATTTTAAAGCGGCGGAGCATTTCGAAACATATGCTCGGGAGCGAAACCCCAGTGTAGGCTGACCGTTGGGACGGGATTCGGGATCCCGGGCGAGTTTCAGTCCTGTCCCATATTCCCATGGGAATCACATTTTGATTCCCACCCCGTGCCAAGACTTTTGGGAAGGGATTCCCATTAGAAGGGATTCGGGATGGGAAATTCCCATTCCCACTTACTTTAGAAATTAGGTCCCGTTTCCCGTCCCATTTCCTAACCTAAGATCCCGAATCCCATCCCATTTCCTAACAAAGAATCCCGAATCCCGTCCCACTTCCTAATAGGGTATAGTCTAAAAATTTATATAGTATAAAAATAAGAAATTTTACTATGTGAAGTAATATAAAGTAGTTATTTATCACGTGATTAAAATAAGGGAAATTCCCATGGGATTTTCCCAGGAATCGGGATATTCCCATTCCCTTCCCATCTATAAGTTCGGTCCCGTTTCCCGTCCCATTCCCGAATAGAAATTAGAGGGAATCCCGATCTAGGGAATGGGATATTCCCTAAGATCCCTAATTCCCATAAATTTCCTGAAATTGGTCCCGTTCCGTCCTGGTCCCGTTCGGGAGGGAAATCCCAAGGGAAAATCCCTTCCCAACGGCCAGCCTACCCCAGTGTCACAGTGAATGCACATATGCTGCAGTGTTTATGCCACCTATCAAGTAATGGAGACTATTACAATTCGATTGAGAAATGCATACGGTATATTTGCAAGTCTTGGTGGGAAACAGATGGCTTGGTGTATGACAAATGGGTAAGGCATTAAAGAATAAATAAACCTGGCGCCTTTGGTTGACACAAAACAGAATCTTTCGCCGTATTATGCTATGATGTCGATATCCGAATGTCTTGCACAATATCTATCGTCATATGATCAAGGTCACGTTAAAGGCTTTGCCTGACGACCTTCTGTACTTCCAGCTACCAATGGTCCTTTTCCAAACGTTATCCCGCACACTTTTAACCCAGAAACCTGACGGCTCCCGGGGTTCACAAAATTCCAAAGAGGAGACAGCTTATGCTGTATTGACTGTTCGAGTTACAATGTCCCTGTGTCCGGAAGCTATTCAAGAAATATATAAAGAAGCCATTGTAAAGGCACGAGCTTTTATCTTGTCCGCCCCGGAGCCCGTGTATAGTAACCATCTCTAGATATCTAAGACAAGTTACAGCCTTTTATCAATCTCTCGTGCATACATTCTTAGTGTCCTGAATATCTGTCCGTTGCGCAAAGACAGGCCTGCGGCTCGAAGAGTCATAGCACCGCTTTCAAACCAGATGTTAAAACATGTTGAACTATTTTCAAACCTACCTTTATTCTCGTCAACTCCTAGCTGGATTACCCATGCTTCCGCTATTAAGAGCCAGTTATTACTTCAACGAGCATCCAAGATTGATATTTTTGACGGACGAGTGCCTATGGCAGAGTCAACCCTCAACACTTTAATACTCTCATTAACTTCCCTATACAATTGCTCGATGCTTTGTTGGGCTGGGTACGCAAATTCTATATAGTTTGGCTGAATTCTTTGTTATCGGCCAGCAACTCGAAACTCATGCAGACAAGGTACTCCGCTGGCAAGGGAAGACGATGCAACAATTGTATCAGAAGATAGTGTGCGAGATCTTCGCAGAAATCAGTACTGGCTGTCCACATTCCCAGCCCTGCAGATTCCCCTTCAAGCAGCCGAATAGCCAGAGGCAAGATGAGGCAAATGAAGTGGACTGGAACGATGCGCAGGCACAACTCCGCAAGGCTATCCAAGCATGGAAATGCCTGGCCACTTCTCCACGTATACAACGTGCTAATGAATATGATCAGAGGACCCTCTTTATAGAGATGAGGTGCCATTTGCTTGCTGGTTGTTCCCATGCACAAGTCTCTACTCGAGACTTTGATCAACGCCAGCAAGTCTCTGCTCTGGGGCGAGTGTTCTGGAAGGAAGGCCTCACCTTTCGCAAGTGGGCGCAAGGACAGGGAGCAGATAATGTTGGTTCATCGATCGTGCTTATGTTCATACTCTGCCAAGTCAGCAATGGAAGGGATTTCTTCCCAACGGTCACGGAGAAATATATACTCCAGGATTGGCTTCGACGGAAGGCGTCGAGACACGCCTGCGTAACGACTTGGGAAGTGTTGAACGCGACAAAGTAGAGAAAAATCTGAATGTGTTAAACTTTCCTAAGTTCATATCTGGGCCAGCTTAAATTGAAAATCTTATGAGGCTACACCTCTCAAAGCTGGCTGATTTCGAAATGGAAATGGCTGACATTTCTTTCGCGAAACTTGAGGCTGCCTTGTCTATCAAGAGGCCACGATCAGCAACTGCTTCTTTGGCCTCATATCGCGGGATATTCGAGTTCCACAATGATTTGTTGGCAGCTGGAAAGTCCTATGGTAGCTAAACATCTTTTGCTAAGGTAAAATGCAATAGCCCATCTGGTTAGTACAGATAGTGATAGGTAGCCAGAAAATGAAGATTTAACCAGTCATGCTAAATATAAGATGCACCTTTACTACTCGGTAGGAGAGTACCCTGATGACCAGTAATTTAAACATTGTTTGCTTCTAATCCATTGAAGGCTGATTTTGTTCCTGAATTTTTTAAATGGAGGATGGTCCGGTCGGCCCTCGAAGGTTGACCTTTCTCATAAGGTCTACATTTCTCGCCAATATTTGGACTGGCCTCCCCTAGCAGAGGGCCTGTCGTTCGGACGCTCTGCATCATGGCGGCCCGCTCAATCAGATTTCCCGCGTAATCTCCAGGGCTTGCTGGCTGGCGTCCTCAACAATATTTTCGTTAGACTGAATGGCTTCAGCACAAGGTCCACCTCGGGGTCCTCCAACAAACCTGGTGACAGCGACGGAGAGGTACAAGCAGCTCATATTTATGCAATCTCTAGAGCTTCAAAAATAATGATCAAAATGCGATGAAAATGATCAATCATTTTAACATTGTTACGGAAACACTGAAATCCGCCCGACTTGGCGGTGCGGAGTATCTGACGATCGATTCAACCCCTGAATCCTTTAGTTAGTTGAGCACCCAGATAGGAATGCGAGAGACTCAGTTGGTTGAGATACTGTGATTCCTGGTGTTTCCACTGAATGACATCTACTTCCTAATTAGGCTAGTTGGACTGTAGCTGATAGAATAGCTCCCTGCGCATCACTTCCCTGAGTTCCACAACAAACATAAAAGGCAATTATGTTGAATAATTGACTGATCAGTTATTTTAGTCAACTTCTGTGGCCACAGTTTGCTTAAGAGGGAGCGTCGGTAGCCCGATTGCGACTGTCTGACCACGGTCGAATATACGTAGCAGCAAACATGCAGAAGTATCAGTGAATAGTTTCACGCATTGCACTAATATCAAACATTTCCTTAGTAAATGAGGGCACTCATGAGGAATTTTAAAATGGATATGATCCCGCGGCTGGATACTCGTTTAGTGAAATTCGAACAGTAGTTCTCTGTCCTTCACAAAAGCTACCCGCTACCACTTGCCTCTGTAATTAAAATCGAAGCATAAACCAAATATCTCAGGTAGTTGAAGGAATGCGCGCATCTGGACTTCAGAAGACATGCGAGATGAGCTACATTCCACGTCTCGAATCTCACAAGTTGTCAGGATGATGCATTGTCCTGGCAACCCAGACCGCACACGTGGTGTCTTGCGTGCAAATCCTGCGTTGAGCAAGCTCGATACTCCGTACAAGTTATTTATTGTCTCTGCTCCGTCTGCACACGTCAAACGTTCTTCCCGGTCTCATCTAGTTGGACATTAGGACAAGATGCCCTGGTCCACAAAGATATGTCAGTTCTGTCGGAAGCGATACGCCAACAAAAGAGCGCTTTATAATCACCTATCTGAGTACATTGGCGCCTGGCGTCTTCCAGCCGATGGGATCCACGATGTCTTGCAGATTGAGCAGGTCATCCGCCGCCTTTATCCTTCGGCCTACGAGGCCGATGAAGATCGCAAATACAGATGCTGGACATGTTGCAAGATAATCACGTCGCGTCGGCGGTTTACTGAGCATGTTATTTATCGGCGCCATTGTGGATTCGACCCTGAATCATGGACGGGAAGAGGCAGTATGAATCTCCGCAAATGGTCCCTCCCTTTTGACGAGGACACTGTTCTTCTCCGTGAAGATCCATTTCCATTTCTCCGTCCCCCCGGGTATATTGTCCCTTTTCCTTGCACTTTCTGTTGCTCACCTGAATTAGCGAGCAGGCGGCTATCTCACTGCTATGTTACATGTTTTGATCGTGTCTCACTGACCTAGGAATACTGCCTGTCCAGAGTTGCGATTTATGGTCTACGGATTTCTTCTCTGTTTCGAAGAGGTTAATTTTGGGGAATACCTGCGCTATACAGACATTGATCCCCACAGAAGTGGGCTCTGGCAGCAGTATAATCCCGACAACAATCTACTGGCCATTATGTCTGTAAGCCGTCAGATTTATGATGAAGCCCGATGGACATTTTACACTGGAAACAGGTTCTCATTCGAATCGTTCGACAACCTCCCCGTTTTCCTGGTCGGAATCGGAGTCGAAAACGCCATGCTCTTGCGATCAGTGAGCTGCAAGGACAGATCGGAAAAGTTCAAAGACTACACAGATCACATTCAATCGTGTCTAAGGCAGGCGGCCACGACGGGAGACACGTCAACTGGGGACCTCTACATCCCGCATATCGAGGACCTGTATCTGAATCTTGCAAACCAAGACGCACTGAGACCTAACATCTTGCCTTTTTACTGGAATGATAATCGTCGCTTGCTACGTCCGGACATTACGTCCGTCTCTAGTTACCCGAGTCGAATACGTTTTACGCTCAGCGCCACCCTGCGACAGAATGGCAAAGACACAGTAAATGCCGATCGAATGTATCTGGCTGCATATGAATTATACGTGCAGAGGAACCGAGGAGACTCATAGGCATTAACTGCAGCCTAGGGGTGTATCCACCGGCAACCATCATCTTGTCGGTAAGAATTCCAAGGCCCTGGTCACTCCAAGCCAGGCAGTGTGCAAGTAGAAGCCTATCGGCTAATCGCATTAGACTGACGCATTGGTTAACCCTATGCCCGAGACTGCTTGTTTTTTCAGCATGGGTCGGGTTCGGAGTTCCTTATTGCCCGCTCTTTGCTCTCACAAGCTGGATCAGAATTAAATCCAACTTTCTGCCCAAGCTTCCAATGGCTCTCCTCTTCTCACGATGTGGAATTGCGGTGAAAAGAGGCAGGTATATGGCGTGCATTTGTTGACATGCTTGTTCCGTGAGCCCTCCCCGACCGTCGTCTCGTGCGCTCGAGGATGCCCATGAGCTCATCAAACGGCTTCGGGTGCGTCGTTGATAGAGACCCATTACTCTCTCGGATGTGGTCACGAATCTGGAGCAGCAGTGGTTTAGGTCGGGGTGGATGTTTTGTACGCGCGACGACGGCTCGGGGAGGGGCGAGAGACATGGATCAATAATAAGGATTGGTCTTCTCAATGGACAGTAGAAAATCAGCCCAACAGACTCGTTCGATCCCGTGGAACGGTATGCGAACGCTATCGTTCCCTATTTTGTCGTCGCCTTGAAATCACAGCCGTCGGGACGAACAGTTATCTAGGCGGTCGGCCTTAGCACGTTGCAGCCGCGTCCGCGTAGTTTCCAACGCGATCGTCCAACCTCGAGCGAGTGCGATCTCGTGGTCTAAAGCGTTGAAGACCCCAGCGATGGCAAGGTACCTCTCCGTGTTGCTGGGAACTAGTGCTCGTTCATCATCTGGTGCATGAGGAAGCCAAGACCTGCCTTGACTCCTAGTTTACTGTACATACTGTGCATCGGGAAGTTGTCGATGCCGTAGTCGTCTTTCGCCCTGTTGTTTAAGCTCATCCATTCATGTCCATACTGTACAATAGATTATCATTCAACCAGTATTTGGACAAAGTCAAATCGCCGTTATTCTGGCCCGTCATGGCACCTCGGAACAAGAACACCATTAGAAGGTGCGCCAAATCTTCTTCCCGCGTTCTGGTCGAATCAAACCATGTAGCCGCGATAATGGGAGGAAATCTGTTTTAGTAGGCCAATAAAATTAGGAGTGTAGGCGTCCTTTGGCAGCCGCACAAACTTGCCAGCTGCTCTGCCACCGCTCAGAGTCCGCCAGTAGAGAACATTTTCCAACTTAAGATAGTCTTGCTTGAGATATGTAAGCACCGTGTGTGGCAGGAGGACTAGATGCCTTGAACGACTGACACACCAAAGTTCCCTCTAAGGACCGAGCCCGCCTCTACTGACGGAACGGGCAGGGCAGTCATTTTATTGGGATGCGGGGAAGGATCTATGCTTATTTGCCCAGCCCTAAATGTAGAAGCACACGTTCTCGCCCGTTCACCGTAATCGAGATGCGGGCAATTTTACCTTAATCATTTTGCACCACCGCTGCCGTTTCCACCGGTTAAATAAACGCTCATGCACTTACCCGGACATAAGATTTACAGATCACCTGGCTTCAATTCGGTATTGAACTGGGAGAAAGCTATTCTCGGCGTATGCCATCTGGTTTTTCCCTGCTTCCTTTTGTTTATGTTGTCTTGTTCTGAAGGAGTTTCCGCAGCGGACCTAAACTCAACCATAGGGACGTAAAAAGCAATCAACCAATATTGGGAGTTGCAGGATACTTCGAGCTAACACTGGTATTTCAAAAAGCAAAACCATTCTCAAATCCACCCCCACCTAACTAACCTTTCGCCACCGACCAGGAAGAGTTTTGCCCAGCATGCTCTTGGACTTGCCTCATGAGCTATTACTATTGATATTTCAGAACGTGAGCTTCCTGTATTCACAGGATCCATTAGGTACTAACGATCCATAGCTAAGAGACTGCGATTTATGGGAATTATTCAATACCTCAAATAGTGTACGGCACATGTTGCTAGATGCCTCTTCCAACATGTCGAAATCGATTACCCACCATCCAACTCTCCCGAGTCCCTGAATGGAAAGCCTCTGCCAGCAACAAGAATATTCCAGCTTCTAGGCCAATGGCTACCATTTATTCAAGATATACGCATATTCTGCTATCGAGCTGTGGAGCCCTGCGTGCTAAACCTACTGAGTCGATAGCCTAACATACGGCGAGGTTGGTAAGGAAGGCTTTCAGATCTTCGAGGATCACTTTTTCAACACCAGGAGTTTTAATGACTGACAACTCAATAGTATTGACGCAGAAAGAAGCGACGAGATCTCATATAGCGTCAAAGAACAGCTGGCTGATCAACCTGACCTTCGAGAATTGTTCCATTCCAAGAGTGTTCCCAGCTCCTGGCCGGTACACCTTCCTTTCCACCTCCGCAATGGTCCCCCGTCCGCCGAGCTCTCGTTCCAGGTGACACATCGGGTCCTGGTGGTAATATTAGTGCCTTCACAGTGCACACCCACCTACGGCAAGCCATTACGTCCACTCCGCAACAAAAATAATTTCTCATTTTCTGCCGGCAGAACCATCCCATGTGACTTGCTTGGTTTCACCATATAAATGGCTACTAGTCCTAAGCACCACGTAAAGGTGCAAGTCATGCTTAGGTGTTGTACACAGGGCCTGTACAACTAGGCGTGCAGGTGCAGGTATTGGTGCTTGTGCATGCATATAAAAAATTACACCTACCTAAAGAAGAATAGGATGATCCTTATCCCCTCCCTCCTCCTGGTCATCGTCTAATAAAGTGTCGACCAAAGTGGGCCAATATTACCCATTATTCAGCATCCGCTCGGTCCGACTTTATTCCTTTGTTTTCACCTTTTCCAGCTCTCCCAGATAGATTCAGATAGTTAGAGACCTTAGAGACCTCATTTTCTTCAATGCATATCCATATTCTTATATAATCGGTGATACTAGCTCATACGCGTATTCAGCTGACCGACATAAAGCAATCGGATTCTCCTGTTCACGTTCTTCAGCGTCCAAATTAATTGGATGTTGCTGAGAGGAACCGATTGCCTGCTGATGCTCTCCTCCAGTACCCAGGCCAACAACCCGCTCTTGTAGTCTATCCAGTGGATATGCTACGGACCGCCAGAGCTCATCCCGTACAGTACAGCGGGCAGCCAGATCCGGCCATTTGCAGTTGGCGCATGCACCGCCGAATACACCCAGTACATGGCGACATTCGGTAAAAGGACGCATACCTTGTGGAGTGCGGCATCTCTCACAAGGCACTGGCAGCGTCCGCCCACGGGATTGAATAAGCAAGGCATTAATATACGACGGACGATGCTGCATAAGATGACAAGGAGTTATCCTGCCGCGGATAAATACAATGTCTTGCCCTGGAAGGGCCAGCAGCTGCCGACCTATATCAGTATGTACGTAGTTGGCCAAGAGATTGACTGGCTCGTTGGCAAGACTGGATTCTGTCCAGCAGGCAGGCTCTCGTACATATGGTGAAACCAGCCATCCAATGTAAGAGCTGGAGGGGAGGGGGACATGGCGACGGTTGTTATTATTAAGCCTATATAAAGCATTAAAATTAGCCAACAAAATCTTGTCCGATTATTATAAAAATTTAAAGAAACACTTATTATGCTAAGTTTAATTATCTCGACAAGTTTTATGTACGTACGACATTTTGGTGGGCGGTAAAAAGGGGTAAAAGGTGGTAGAGGTAGTAATTGTAGTGGGATTCATGTAGAAAAGTGAGAGAATTTGGAGGGTTTTACAAATTCTGTACAAAACATTCACTATATTTTTTTCTGCCTAAGGCTGTACATATTCAAATACCTCACTTATTTTTTCAAAAAAAGGGCCATATTCCTTTATTCTCTCCTTATCCTTCTCACCTAGTGCATACTTCTTTCTTGTACGGTAAGCCAGCTCACTTGGAGACGAATCCTTTTCTGTACAAAAAACGAATTACCTGGTGATGAAGATTGAATAGATCTTTTTTGAGAGATAGGTAAAGTAGAAGTCTGTTCAGAGCTTTCTCTTAGAAAAAGAGGATCTTTCTCCTTTTTTTTCTGTTTTTCTTTTTGATCTTAACCTTCTCTTCCTTCTCTTTTTTAATAGGAAAGTCATCATTGTACGGTGCAAGATAGCGCTCAATTACCAAGAAGATTTGGTAGTCTCTCTCACCATTGACCGTACAATATTCAAACCAAGTAAGTAGGTCCTCAATTGCTAGACGTCCAGATAGTGTATAGCTAATAAACGTTGGTACCCGTCCTTTAATTTTAGTAGCTAGTTGAAATGTCTCATCCTCCTCTTTTCTATAAAGAGGATGTTTAATTATGCCAGGTAAAAGATCTTCAGAGATAAACTCTTTAATATTATCAACCGTACGCGCAGTAATTCGGATCTAAATCCTATCTTATTTTGGTTAGCATTGACTATTTTGCTTATAATCTTTATACTAACCAATTTCACTTAGTGTTTTCGATGCTCTTGGATCGTCCATATTAATGACCCGACGATAATATGCCACTGTAGCTTTGTACGAGGTTGGACGGGTGATATGTTGCTGTCTGCTCCGTCTAGATAATAGTTGAAATACTGGCTGCCGCTGTGATGTACGGGGATAAGAAGAGAATTGTTGGGAGATAGATAATGCATGAGATGTACGGGAAGGAGGAGAATTAGTTAAATCAATTAAAATGGAAGGTAAAGCGCCACAATCAAGACATGCTTTACCTTCTAGATAACGCTGACCGGTCAGGCCACAGAACCTTGACCAAGATGGCCGCATTTGCAAAGAGAATTATAAGTCTGTACAGATAAAAGAGAAACAGAGAGAATAGGAATCCGTACAAGATATAAAAAAGATACTTTGTTTGCTATGCCACGTCAGGCTCCCAGTCAAGCGCCCCAACCGGTCGACTTAGTAATCCCAGTACAGGCTCAGACTGCATATTAATATGCAAGGTGATAGCCTCACGTAGCTGCAGATATTCAGTACGAAATGGTATTAGATCGGCATCCAGTCCATTTGGTAATACATTTTCAGGGTCAAAGCCCATCCCCGAAGCTGTGTACGACAAAATTGCAAGGTTTCTGCAGGAAGATATTGATCAAGCTCTAAATGCTATTAGTAGAAGTTTTGTATAGCTAGGCAAAACATATCATATTCCTGGACATCTCTTTGAAGTCTCTGTACGGTATCATTCTGCACTGGTAGTCCATAATTAGAAATATCTTCATCCGGATAGTGATACAGCATGTACAGCTTGCCAGCAACAGAATTTGGACGCTTTGTTTGGCGTCGAATTCTATGGACATTCCATACTTGGACAAAATTATATACCTCTGCTCGAATAATAGGCATATAAATACTGTACAAAGCAATCTGATCAGGTATAGAATCCTTTGTAAAAAGACCTTCTTCTTTAAGTGCACGGAGAGCATTCTATAAGTATTAGTATATTTTTATAAAAAAAGGATAAAAAACATACTCTCCATTTGTACATAGCTGATTCACTTAGCTTTCCCCACCAGGCCTCTATTCTCTGATTCTCCGTACTTGATCCGGTGATCCAACAATCATTCTCTTGTACAGTAGGATTATGTGCTTGCTGAAGTTGGAGATGTGCTGCTTTAAAAGATTAATCTCTGAGCCATAATCTGATCGAATCAACTTCGGCTGAATCTGTATAGTTTGAACAGTATAAGATACTGTCGAAGAACATAACTGCCGTACGAGCAGAAATCCCACAGTAAATCCAGATTATATAGCGGAATAGGCAAATTGCAGCATAATTTAATCCCTACACTCAAGCTTTAGATATCCATCCACTGACCAAAGCCAGTTTGGTCCTGGTACAATATATTCTCCTCGTTGTCTTTGCATATCCAGATTCCGACAATCAATGGCATCCGGAAGTATTGTTCGATACATGGAGAAAAGACGGTCACTAGTAGAAAAAAAAAGAAATTAGTATAAATATTAATAAAAATAGAGATTCATACCGAGCAATTATATAACCCTGGCTGCGTATATGACGGTGCAAAAGCTCTTTACCGTATCCCTGGATTATTCCCTTTTCTGCCTGTATATAGATAGTCCCTGCACTCTACGGGAGTTTGCGCGCGGAATACGGCGGCCCGCAGAGGTCCGGTTGCGCACTTCCCCGGACACTCCACGTACGTGTCAGAATAAAGCTAGTCCATATTGGGACATCATGTGAATATATATACCCAATACTCCTCATAGAGGGGTTGGGCAGAGAATCCTTCTGAATACAACCACTTCAGACCCCCAAATAATCGAACAGTACGCTGTGTGTCGCTGACGTAAGACCCGTCCCCCTACAGTCCCCGTAGACTGTCGACCGGCCCCACCCCGTACAATCCCCGTCGACCGTCCAATGCCGAACGGAGCCCGTCCCGACACCACCAACACCGGCTCCCGTCCCATCGTCCGCCAACAGGAGTTCCCGAGCCGTCCCGATACCACCCACCCCGGGTCCCATCGTCGGTCGATAATGTTTTTCGATCGGGATCGTTGATTCGGTAACATTTTCGCCCCGGTTTCCGATTATCTCTTATAACTCCGGTTACCGACCACTCAGCACTGCAACCCGATCGCGACTGCGCCCAACCATTCCGGTATGTACGCAGCGATGCTGAATAAGAGGGCAATGGTAGAACTCCGAAGGAGTAGGTCAAGGAGACACTCTGAGACAGCTCAGCCTGGCAGGAGAGAAGACAACATTCCCCTTACGCAGGTGCGCTCCGTGGTTTGTAAGAAGGTTGTTGATTGTCTATTCCCTCTTCGAACGAGGACTTAAGATAACCGTTATCCATACAAATGCCACATGCCAGTCCCTCTAGTTCCTCCACTATAATACAAACGGGGATTGTTTGGGCAACATATGACGCCCGATCCCGGGATGCTCCCCGACTAAGGTGCCGGCGCAGAACAGGCCCACGCCATGGAGAGTAAGTCAAAAGAGCGCTCTTGGGTGGCCCGTCTCAGCCCTGCACGGATAAGTTACTTTTTCAGCAATCTAGCGCTGGAGTATTGCGCTGATTTGCCGGACAGATGTTCTGCACTTACTGCATTGTCTTTTATCCAGTGCTACGACATCTCCTATCCAGAACACAACACAACACAGTGAAGGATTGGATGGGGACGAAGATATATAACACCTATTACCATGCAGTTAGACAGCTCCATTTAGTCCCTCGCGTTCAATGCAAGCCATTCACTACGGAGAAACTTGGTTACCATATTAACTCGTCAGTGCTTTATCTCCTCTTAAGTATACAAGCCTTAAACCCTCGCTTCGCTCGGCGGCTTGAAGTCTGCCTGACGCTATTCCTATTATGGTCGACACGTGATACTGATTCGGACCGTATCAACGCGAACACAAAGAATTATAGACAATAAAGCCGTAAACAGGCCGTAATTAGGGCGAAGAACAATAGCAAGTAGTGAATTTATATATAAAGAAGCCTATTCAATGACATGCAAAGGGCTTATCCAGAGGCTTACAGATCGGTAGGACAATAGAAAGGCCCGAAATATATAAAGAACCACAATCCCCCGTAGATTCAGAGCTCAGATCCGCAAAAGTTTTGAGTCAAATATTTTGATTTTTTACGGACCCTACCATGGCCCACCGAGTTAATGGACCTGCCCCGGGTCGCTGGCGGCCAGGCACCTCGACCTCACCAATTTTACGGGCCAGACCTCCTCTGCCATGCGGCAATTATCAACCTTCCCCGCTGTCCGCGAGCCGCAATTCCGGGCCGCTGGGGCCAGACCAAACTTCCGCAGAGCCGTTAATGCAGAAGCAGTCATGGGCCAGGCAACTGGCACCTTAAATACGACCCAATGCACGCATTGTGCGCGGGCTATGGGCCCTTTACCCTGTGCGTTTCGTCCGCGGGCCGCTTTGGTGGTAGTTGTGCAAATTGCCACTACAACAGTAGTGGAAATCGCTGTTCCCTGCGCCGTTTGTAAACCCTATTCGGTCTGTAAGGATATCAGCTAACGACCGTAACAGCCCAGCCGGAGGAAGAAGGAGTGGAAGAAGAAGAGGAGGAAGAGGAAGAGGAAGAGGAAGAGGAGGCAGAGGAGGGGGACCGGGGGGAGTGGGCCGTTTAGGGGCGTATACAGTCCGTCGCGCTGCCCCCGCTGCTAATATCCGCAATGCCCGCCGGCTACACCGGCTTTTTATCATGGCCGCAACGAATTTCGACGCGGCTGCGGCTGGCCTTGCGGCCGTCGCCCGGGCTTGCACATTAATTGCGGACGATTTTGCAGAGGACGCCGGTTTCGAGCCGGTAGGGGATCCAGACCTTGACAGTCTGGACCGTGAGATCCTAGGAGACGACGAAGAGGGGAGTGAGTAGGGGGTTTCGGGTAGGGTTTTACAGCCTGTGATTAGTGTTTTATAAAGGCTGCGGCCTGGGGCTGGTCCCCGAAGTCAACGTTCAGAGGAAACACTAACCGTAGGATATTGTAGACATTGTAGAACTTCAGGCCATACCACATTTTCGGTTGTCCTTGCGTACGGTGACAATAGGATGCTCAGATTCTTGACATCCGTAACTCTGGAGAGGGCCACATACAGCTGACCGTGGGAGAAAGCAGGAACCCGTAGATCAATTCCTACAGTCTGCAGTGACTGGCCCTGTGACTTATTTACAGTAATTGCAAAGCATGGACGGACCGGAAACTGTGTACGGATAGTTAAACGGAGCTCATCAGCATTTGAATAAAGCGTAGTCGCGGGATTACATGCTCTATCCCACAGTAGTCGCCTGTAAGCACCCGGCCTTGATAACATGCGGTAATAGATCCGTAATTAAAAGGCGTGTTCCATTGCAAAGACCCTCTGACGGCCGAAGATTCCGAAGCAACATAACAGGCATATTCTTTTTCAGGGCAAAATGGAAGGTGGAAGGCCCGGCAGGTCAACGACTGCAGAATTCAGTTGTATAGTCATCTGTATCATGATGCACGTTATCCTGAAAGCCTTATCAACAGAATAACGGACCGACAGATCACCTGGCAGGGATGCGTAACCTGGTTATTAAGCTCTGCGAGGTGGATATTACGCATGGTTAATATAGCACGGCCCGCAAAGAAATCCGGGTCCTGCTGCCCATGTAATGAGCGGTGGGAAAACACGCTCACAAAGCTCCTCCAAGGACTGTACGGTCCTATCCTGTAGGAATACAGGTAACTGCAGTGAGCCGTACATGTCCTTCTTATAAGACATATAACTCAGCCAGTCTGCAAAAGCCCGATTTACGCCGGTAGGCGGCAGCCGCATATTGACTGTAAGATGAAGAAGCGTCAACTGGGGCCATATAAATGACCTCTGCAGACAGGCACCAGTAATACCGGACCGTGGAGCCCTTGGTACGACCGGAAGAGTTTGGGCAAAGTCCCCGCCCATTAAAAATGGTATTCCACCAAAAAGTCGTTCGTCGTTACGGACATCAGTAAGGAAATTATGGCCGTTTGAAAAGCTAATCGGTGCTGCATGGCACCTATCCCAAATAACAAAGTCCACGTCTTAAAGAATTGAGCCCTTGCGGTCTGTATATTAATAGAAGAGACTGATGTTTCATTCAACTGTAGGGAATACCAAAGTAGAATGAGCTGTACGGCCGTAGGGTAGAAGCAAGGAGGCAATTCCAGAAGAAGCCACGCAGAGTATTGTTTTCCCTAAAGACCGCAGGTGATAGTAAAGGGCCCTGTACAGGAAGGTCTTTCCAGTCCCTCCCGGACCTTGCACAAAAAAACTGGCTGCCTCCCGACGTTCTACAGCTGCAACGACTTGTTCAAAGCAAGATTTCTGGTCATTATTTAGCTGCTGTACCATATCCACGGTGGTAACACCCAGGCTTTCAGACCGTAGATCGGGCATAGTCATAATATGATCGGATGCTGTACCATGCCATGGCCCGCAAAAGTCTGGTAACTGATAGTCACTCAGAGTCTTACCGTGCTCAGATAACTTGCCGGACAGCAAGTACAACCCGTAGTCAAAATGACGGTCCTCTAGACTTGGCGGATTCTCCATTCGGTCAATCCTGCGGCCTAGATCACCACAAATACTATCTTTAAAATGATCCCAGAGCGCATGCGGCTCCGTAACGTCCCCGAAGACCAATGCAACAGTTAAAAGGTTCCGGAGTTGGCGGCCGGTTGCAAAAACAGCCGCCTCGTTAAATGCAGCAATCCATTCACGATCATCATCTAACAGGCCCATTGCCTTACAGGCCTCTTTAAAGGTGTCATACACAACAGTATCCACAGTGCGAAGGTCCTCAAAGGATATCGAGCCAACCCTTACAGTTAGTAGCAATCGTATATAAAAGCGCTCACCCTGGTTCGGATGACAATGATACATACGCCCAACAGCAAAGCCCGCCTTACGGGCTCTCCACACCTGCTGACTACCGGACGAATCCCACACAAAATGCTGGGGCATATGGGCGTAAAGATAGCGAGGCAGGTCTTTACGGCCGCATACGCGTTGTAAGCAAAGTAACCCATTAATATAGTCGGTAATCCTCCGCTAGCTGGCGCACACGGTCCGTAGACTGGCCAACACGGTATGGGATTATATGGCCACCGGGAGTATGCACCTGTAGGGCTTGTACTGATGGCCATTCTTGATGAACTGGGTAACCTAAAAGACGCCATACAGCCTCGGACGGCCCAACATAGCGGGCCTCAAGATACTGGCTGACCTCACTGTTCAGGTCAATGTGAAGAGTTGTACGGTCGGACCCTTATAAATATATTTAGTAATATATTTAATACCTCAACACCACGACAGATCTCAACATTAATATGGGCTTTGAACCGCTTTAAAAAATATAGATTGTAAGGGACCACCTATCTATTATTAATTTTAATTAAACAGCCCTGTAACTCTTTGATAAACCGGCCTGAACCCAGACAACAGCGACAGTACTGGGGATATCTGTTTTCTTGCGGGAGTGTCTCCATTATACGGCCCTTTGGGAACCGCTTGGTACAGTATAAGTTACCCGAGTCAGGATGTTTATCACAACAGGGGCTTTTGCATTAAAGTCCGGACCGCAGGGGTTGTGGATCATATGTGTCTTTACGAGTTCATATAGTTCCGGGTCGTCAGCAGGGTTAGGGAGCTCTGCACACACAATCTCGTCAATATAAGGCCTGAAGAAAACGATCACGGCCCGCTAAAAAAAGAACTAAATGCATATGTGGGAGGCCACGCTTCTGGTACTCAATGGTAAAAAACGACCGTAGGATTTACCGAAAATACCACGTGTATGCACGTCTCGAATAAATTCGGTCCGTTTTAGGTTAAACACGCGGGCTACCAAGTCCGGACGGTCCTCCCAGCTCTGGCCGGGCAATAGTTCCCGTGAAATTTCGTTCCATTTAGGGTTCGCAGTAAATGTAATAAACAAAGAGGCGGCCCGTAATATTGACAAATTGACATTGGTCCTGATATAGCTGCTGCATAAAACGTGGACTGCCAACATGGCTGATGGTAAAATAACTCTACGGCCAGATTCAATAGTCGCTTCCACATCCCTATCTGCATGGGCAAGGCTCAGTAAGTCCAGTGTATAAATCGGCCCGTATATCATCCTGGTGCCTTGTAATCCAATCTAATTGGACTGCTCGATCGTAGCCCAGGCGTCAACTAAATACTGCTGCCAGAGCGGCCCGCACACAGCCATGAGCTAAACAGGTTGGTACGGGTGAAAAGACGATACGAATAAAAAGCCTGGCTAAGAGCTATTTGGCGCTGCGCCATATTCTGCAGACCCCACTGCCAACCACCATCACCGTAGGGAAAAGCAACGGATACTGACGGGATGTAAGCAGAGTGAGCAGGGTAATTTTAGTTAGTCCTGAGCCTACTTCGGGCCGCCGAAGGCGCAACACAACATCCCGAAAGTTTAAAGTATTGTCTTCTGGGCCCAAATCGGGCCGGGGAAAGACTGCAGCAACCTCGCCAGCGGTTGGAAGATTATACCGACGGCGATCATTGCCCTCTAAGACTTCAAGATGCAGAGAGGGCGCGAGGAGCACCTGTACAGGTGTCCAACGGACTGTGGCCGCCTCTAACTGTTCCCATGCGGTCTTATATATATTGATAAAGGGACTTACACAGCGTAGAATACCGTCCAACTTCTGCAGAATAGATTTATTAAGGACCTTATCTGAAGCACAGCGAGCAATATTCGCAGCTGCCGGGTCGTGGAACCACAGCTGAGCGTACTTCGGCTGCTCACCTTCATTAGCAAGTAATGGTCCTTGCAAATGGATTAATTGCCCCTGTATTTGAACCGGACCGTGTTGGCCAGCGGTACGGTTGTCAGATTTCACATTTATAGACGTAAAACACAGCGCGCCATTATAATGGCGAATATTACGGCGAAATTCCCGGGCCTCAGGGGTGTTTTCAGTATATAAGCGGCTTAATTCATATGGTGGCTCACGGACGGGGGAGGTTGCACTTCACCACGAAGGCAACACTTTGTAAAGACGGGATTGCGGAGTGTAGAACCGTTTTCTCGTTCACCCTTCCAGTGTAAAGCTTGCAATATGGACACTCTAGATCCATGCGGCCCAAATCCAACGGTCTTATATAATATATCTGAGATCGGTAGCCGAGCGGCAGAGGACCGTGCAAGCCCCGTACGATGGCCGGGTCATTATCAGGGTCGCTTGCGGCTCGTCGGGGTCGTCTTCAACAGGGTTTGCAGGAGGGACTACCCTTGGGGTACAGGGTTAGAAAGACGATACTCATTCAACTAAAGCCAATTTAGAAAGACCGCAAAACATAGGGGTAAACAAACACGACAGTTAAAACAGCGACTGTAGCTTGCGCCGGTAACATTTCGGTTCGGCACGGCCCACGAGAACTCCTGTATATCCTTAGAGCAGCCGCAACGCGAGCAGTGCTGGAAGCCTTTAGTGGCAACACGATGGCGGCGAGGCCTAGGAAGAGCAGCTGACGCTTTTTCGGACCGTAGATTAGGAGGAGGCAACTCAGAGGCCGCAGGAGCAACGGAGGTAGTAGGGGATACTGGGCGTGAAGCTAGGCGTGAAGCTGTTGGAGCAACCGAATCGGTGTGTTGGCGAAGTCGAGCAACCGGTAAAAGTGTTAGAAAGGTCTGTAAACGCTGCGTAGACAACTTACACGGCAAGTTAAGCATGTTGCGAACTGTTTAGAAGCTTGCGCCCCTGAAGGAGCAACGCGTGAAAAGTCAAGGACCTCACGGATTGTTTTACAGCGAGAGCAATATTGGTAACCGTCAGGAACAGGTTCAATGACGGACCGCTTGCGTCTAGGCATGGATGTAAGCGCAGACTATATGTATAGCAGAATTATAAACAACAACCGATTCCATGTTTACGGCCGGAAAGGGGCGGGATGGAACCACGAGTCGGGCCAGAAGACGGCCCTACGGGCCGTAGTTGCGAAA